CAAAATATAAAGCCTTTTAAAAATGAGAGAAATGACTTTCATGTGGTTTTAAAACAAAAATATTACTTTCTTTTGCTAAATAAAGTATAGTAAATATGGAATCAGTAGGTTTTCATTATCAACTATTTAATTATACAATTACTTTTCCTGAATTACAAATAATATTAATTTTTCTAAAATTAATTTTCGAATATGATTAAATATTAAAAGTGTTTTATGTAGGAGGTTTGTATTCATATAACAAGTTATTAGATTACTTTTTTGTTAACAGTAGTTTTGAACACATGAAAATAATGTCTTGAAAAGTTTCACGTCGTCGTTTAAAATAAGATAGTAAGTGAATGTTGATAACTATATATAATAGATTTTAAGTTCATGATATTTCTTGTCTTAAATCAAAAACCTTTTTTCTTATAATAATGTATTATAGTAGAGTGTTGTGATATTTGAATTAAATTCTTGTTTTGAAAAGTATGAATGCACTTGTGGTCAAATTATGGACAATTGATATATAAATGAAATTTTGTATATATTTATATTATTATCTTATTTATTTATTATTAAGATGATTTTTAAACATGATAATGTTGTTTATTGATGGTACATTTACTCTCAACCGATAGAAATAGTGAAAATTATGAATCCAATCAATTGTGAACCATTTTATATATAAAAGACTTTTATATTGCCTTCAATTCAAAATTTTAATATAATAAATTTGTGGATTTTTATCTTTATATACTCATCTTCACCCAATATATATAGAACTCCTTACTACAAATTTGAATTTCTCACAAATCAAATTATATGAATAAAGATAATTAAAACTCTTATTAAGATGAATTTATTCATAAAATAAACTATTAAGATGAATTTAGTCATTTAACTTAGTTTATGAAATTGATAATAAAAGACCCAATTTAAAGGAAAGAAACACGTTTGAAACACGACCATTTTAAAGCTTTATCTATAAATTTAATAAGAATTATGAAAAATATATCTTTAAGAACCACTTTGCTTAAATATATTCTCAAAATAAATCAAATGATTAAATTATAAAATTCATCAGAATTATGAAAAAATTACTTGTAATAAATATATTTTTATGAATCACTTTGCTTCACTCCACGATGGACATAGTGCAAGGATGATGTCTGGGGCCCCAACAAATGGGTAGCACTTTATTCATTAAGTTGTATTTTCATAACAAAATCTATGATAATACATAAAGCATGGTTTATCTTAAATTAAAAATAACAAAGAATCGAGCTAATTTAATAGTCTTTATTTTAATTTATTTGGCTTCTTAACTGAAATATGTTTATCCAATAAAATAGCTTCAATAATTTTTATTTCTTTTCATTTCAATATCAATTTTATCTCATAATCTCACTTGGTATTTATTTTCAATATTTTAAAAAATAAATAATGTTCTGACAGATAATATAATATTAATAAAATCAATCACTGCATCGAAGATATCATTGATATTAAAGCTTGAAATTCTATTATAATTTTATCTTTAAAAATAATTTTAAAAAATAAAAAATAAAAATATATTTAAATGAAAAGTTTGAGTACTCCATAAGCAAAGCATGTGGAAGGAGTGAGATGAAGAGAGGCTTTTGGGGTGACTATAGCTAAGTGGTTGTGGTGTACTTTAGAATAAATTTGCGGAGGGAATTTGTTTTGGGTTTTTCATTGTAATTTGAGCCATTATTAGCCTCAAATCATTGCTTTCCAATTCCAAACACTGCCACTCTACAATGTCTTCCCACCACTTAAATTCAACGGACAAAAAGTAAAATTACTTTTCTCTTCAAGTTTATAATAAAAGTAACCCAACAAAAGAAATTGAAGAAAGAAAGGAACAAGATACAACATGCTTGTGTGTTTTCCATAAATCCCACTCCACTTTTAAAAAATGTTTCCATAGATATAATCTAAACAAGTAATTAATGTTACTCATTAAGAATTTCTTTTTTTTGTCAAATATAATCCTTAGACATGGATTTTTCTTGTATGTAATTTAGAAATTAATTATATGATATCTAAAAAACGATGTTTATCATATACTTTTTTTAGATTTGTTAACATTTTTATCGTGTAAGAGATCTATATTGATCAACAATAAAATAAACTTATTATATATAAGTGAAAAAAAAAATTATTTTTCAAATCGATGAAGTTAAATTAAATTTGAAATATATTTTTAACAACTTTTAAAAGGTGATTTTCAGGCTAAAGTCTTGAGAAGTGAAGGGACATGTCTCCCTCACTGGTGGTGAAATTTTGGGTTGAACATTATCATGTCATTGCTACCCCAATTCACATTTTCTTTACGCCAACATGTCTCTCGCACTATCTTTAAAGAGGTTTTTTTTAGGCGGCGGCCACGGCGAAGAGAAAAAATAATAATTTAATAAAAAAAATAAGGAAAAAAAGAAGAAAAGATTCAATCATGTATTTTATGGACAGATCTTACTAGCAAATTTTTACTAACAAGTATTTATAAATAGATTTATAGCAAATTTTTACTAATAAATATTTATCAATAGATTTATGATTGTTAGTACTTAGTAACTAGTGTTTGTATTTATTAGTAAAGTTTACTGATAATAATTTTATTGATAAATTTTTATTTGTCAATAATAATGTATCATTAAATCATATTTATCCAGACGTTACGGGTTTATGTGTTTTAACATAATTTTAATAATTTGACATTAAAAACTTACTTTCCTTGATGATATGACAAGGCTAACCGTGAATTTGATTTGTTTGAAAAAGTTTTAAAGAAACTAATGAAAAACATAAATAATTAGAATAAAAGGTAGTTTTCCAGAAAAAGAAAAGTTATTACTTTTGTTTCCATCTGCAACTTGTGCTTTTAGCTTTTTGGTAGATATATCATACATCTTACTTTCTTTTCTCGTTTATAAATGTGTTGAACAGTTCTCAGAGAAACTGAAAATAATGAAACTATCATATTCATGGCTCCTTTTTGTAATTTTTCATCAGTACTTTTTTATACTAGAACATGATATGACGTGGTTTTACGTTTTTCATCGCTCAAGATTTGTAGTTTCTCTCATTAGCTTTAAAATCCTACCTGTTCAATATTTTATTGGTGTCTATCAATATTTAAAAATAAAACAATATTATTGTAGCTACTAAAATACAAATAAACTTTAACCAATAAAACATTAGTAGCTTTCCAACATGAAGATTGTATTCTTTTACTTTCAAATTTATTTTCATATTCATATCTATACTTGTCTAACATTAAAATTGCAAAAAATAAAGAAAAAAAACAAATAAAATGAAAGGAAGTTAAAAATAATTTTAAAAATTCAACCAAATGAGTAAGTAAATATTTAAAAAATAATTATATCATACTAATATTATTGTTTTTCTCTTTAATGTCATCATCATTTTAATGGTCATCTCTGTTTAAATAAAATGAAAGTTGATTTTGGAGAAATGAAATAATGTTAACATCAAGAGAAAAATTATCTTCGTCCCACCAATATTCATGTGTGGTAAAAAAGTGTCAAATTCACATCCAAACATAAATAATTTTCATTACTTAATAAAGTTTATTTATTTTAAAGTTAAGCTTCAAACTTTTCTTATCACTTAGTAATAAAGTGAAATTTGTACACAAAAAAATATGATTAATAATTTAAATATATCCTTATAATAATGAACTAATATATCTTATTATAGAAGGACCACATACAAGACTCTTGGTTTCTATGCATGCAAAACTTTTTAAAACTAACTTAAGATGAAAGGTAGTAACAAGAAACTTATATTAAAATAATTTCTAATAAGACAAAAATGAAATTTAAATAATTAACCTTTTTGATTTATAAATTTTATATTTAAATGATAAAATATTCATTCTTTATTTTAGACATACCATTTTTATTATCAAACAATCAACTAAGCTCTTACACAAGAGACAAACATGTGAGGACAAGCACAAACTCCAGGTCATTACAATAACCTGAAAAGCATCTCAGGGGCATGCTAGCTCCCTCCCTCATTTCCGTCAGGGAAAATCGGTATATCCTTCCAAAAAATTTCTCTACAAACTATAAATTATAAATAATATCACTAGTGTTTTAAAATGAATCACCTTGATTCTGATCATGTTTTACATATGTTTATTAATTGATTTTAAATTATTGAGAATTTATTCCTTTTATGCTTCGCATATGATTTTTTTTCTTATAATTGAATTTGTTACACGAGTACTAACTTTGTAATAAGTTCATGGAAATATAAGGACATAGGAAACGTGGATATTATATATTACACTTGATAATTTATAACTGGATGAGAATGTAAAAAAACTATGCAATTATGGTCATTTGTGTCTCTCCCTGCAAATAAAGCACAGATAGTATCGTATCCGTGACGTGTCCTTGCAATGAATTTTAGAGACAATTTCTGGATAGATTAGATTTTGCATATATTTTCTCTATAGGAATCGCAATAAAGCAGAAGAGTAACTGAGATGATGTTTGTGTGTCCACACTGAATCCATGCGCAAGAGAAAAGAGACAGAATCATCCTATGTGAAAATTTACAAGGCATGAAGTTGGCATGCAAGAAGATAAATCCAAACTGGATTCTTGTAGAAAATAAACTGGAGTGCTAGATTCTATAGAGATATGTAGAAGAGTATATAAGAGGATCAGAGAAAATAGCTATATTGAAATTTGAGCTAGAATACAACTTTTCAGGTGTAGGTAAGTGATTTCAAGTCATGGATGTAAAGATAGAGGCATATCTGCCATGCCACCACCTCCATCATTACTGTCCTACAGAAAAAACCAATCAAGTGTCCCTCCACTACACCAGTTAGTGCATATATTAGTTAGAAAGGAAATGCGAATATTTCTCATTCTCTCTCTCTTTTTCTTTCTATCTTCTAGCCCCACTCCCCCATGTTGTCTATAAATTGGACATGCACGCAACACTATTGGATCAACCAAACAAACAAACACAACCCTTTCTTACAAAAAATGGAGTACTCTAATGGATTTCCTAGAAAAAGAGATGTTTCTCTTCAGGAACTCAGCAAAAGGCTTGCTGAGTTTGCTCAAGTAAGAGGATGGGAACAATATCACAGTCCCAGAAACCTTCTTTTAGCTCTTGTAAGTCCCAGAATGTGTTGTTATGATACCGAAATTAATTTCTTTAACAAAGTTAATTAATGAACATATTCTATGCTTATTATGCAGGTTGGAGAGGTGGGAGAGCTGTCTGAGATATTCCAGTGGAAAGGAGAGGTTGCAAAGGGGTTACCCAATTGGAGTAGTGATGATAAGGAGCACTTAGAGGAAGAGCTTTCTGATGTTTTGCTTTATCTAGTGCGTCTTGCAGATGTTTGTGGGCTAGATCTTGGACAAGCAGCTCTGACAAAAATACTCAAGAATGCTAAGAAATACCCAGTTACTACCACTGACCATACCACCACTTCCAATCGCAACTAGCATCCTATGTACTACCACTAGTATGCTATATAATGCTACCTACCCCTCAGAGAAAAATAATTGCATCATCGAATATCCGTGTAACTTTCTCTTCATTTTAGCTTTCAAAACTGAGTCCATTCCCAAGAAGAGTGAATTAAACCTTTAGTTAAAGAAGCTATAACTATTTCATAATTTGTGTTACACATAGATTTGTAACAGCAGTAGTTTAATTATGTAGTCATGAGTTGTTTATCAAAAGGACTGCACTGGTATTTCATTGTTATTTCATTGTTATTTCATTGTCATGCATACATGGAACTTCACATGTGATCTCGTGTCCTAAATGTTAGGGAAATGAGAAATTTTCCCATGTGGGCACGTGCCTGCCCAACCATTCTTCATCTCATGGGTTGTTTTCCATATCATTGCTATATATATATATCATCATTCGCAAATATGTTGTATATATGTAAAGCTGAAATCATAAGAACTGTGACAAGAGAGAGAGAGAGAGGTACACAAGCATACAAGATCCTCAAAATTGTGTTTATAGGAGGTGGATTGAAGCTGATGATAATTGCAGCACTTGAAAGAGACCATTGAAATGAGAGGAATCTTTGACTTCCTTCTTAAACAGGCTGCGAATGTTTGATTCACTCTTTAAGGCATGTTTAGCTCATGCTTAACCTAAAATTAAGATATAAATAAATTAATTTATACATGAATTAACTCCTTTTTTTTTTCCTTTTCTAGAGATCTTTATAAAGAAATTGGTTCAAAACAGACACAGTGTAAAGTTCCAAATTATATTGGGTGCCTTTGTTGCTAGCAGCTATTTTAAACCAGTTGCGTTACAGTAGCTTCTGCAACTGAAATGATGTTGTTGCATGTGTGGTTGGAATCAGTCAGATACTGCTTGCATTTTAGAAACATGACCGTTCTTCTTTTTTCTATGTAAAAGTGTAATACCTCACATAACTTATAATTTATTTCACTAGTNTCCTCTTTTCTTTTCTTTTTTCTAAGCCTTCAACCTTATATGTTAAGAGAAACTTCCTGAACCACTGCACCACATTGACCTAATGGTAAAATTTTTAAAACAAATAATTATAAAATTTGTGAAAGAAGTTAAAAAAAAAATAAAAAAAAATACACTCATTTAAATAGTACAGTACACAGTTAAGAAAAAAAAACAGTATTTTACTCTTAAAATTTTAGTGTAATCTTTGTTAGTGAGACTCCATCTTTTTTTTATCCACTTAATCATGGTTTTGTGACTAGATCACTTTCATCTTTCTAGTCTTCGACAAACTATAATGTTTAAATATATGCATCATTATCAATATGTCTTCCATAATTTCCTTACACTTTTATAATATTTTTTCATCTCAAAACTGATCTTTTTTAGTTTATCATATATATATATATAGTATTTTCACAAAAACACATCTCCACATACAATCTTATATTATTATATGTGCATTATTGTAAGCTAACAATACTTTTACAATGATCCAATAATTGAAATTAGAACAACAAAGACAAACATAATCACAATAACAATGATATTGCTCCACCAATATTAGTTTAGCACAACTTAGCATAAGTGTACTTTTACTTTCCACAATTTCAATTAAAGAGAAAAAAAAATATACTCCACTTTCATATGTATAACTCCAATGGTTTAAAAAAAATCAAACGATTTAAAGTTGTATTTCTTAAACACGATTTTGGCTAAAAAAATACTAAACAGAAGTTGTGACTCATTGGTAAAAATGACTTCTTCCTAACGAAATCCTAATTAATGAAAAAATGATTAAAACTGTTAGTTCAAATATTTTTTTAAAAAAAAAGCTGCACAGCATTGTTAAATTCTTCCACCATCCATGTCTCCAACAATTCAAATTAACGAAATAAAAAAATTTATCTAGAACTTCATACGAGCAATGATTTGTTTCAATTTCATACCAGCAATAATTTATTTCATGCTATTTTTTTAGCTAAATTATTCCAATCGTTCTTTCCTTTTCATTTGTACAATTTACTTTTTCAAAATGGCAATGAGTACTTTTGCAAAAAAGATGTTTCTTATTTTAATTTTTAAGTGAATCATTGGGCAAATATAGATTCCTTTTTGAACAAGATCGCATATCTATCACTTTGTTTTATTCATAACATTTCTTTATAATCAATGCTGACACCAACATATCGCATGCTTTATTTGTTTATACGATTGTGTATGTCCACTTGCTACCACCTTTGTCAAATATAATTCTCTACAGTGAAACAACTATCAACTTTTTAAAAAGTTTATAAACAAAACAAAACATTTTGACATATCTCTAATTATTAACAAAACCAATTTATAAAGTAAAGTTGTATTGATATATTATAATATACTAAATTATATGCANTTATCAAGCAATCAACCTCTCGTGGTGAAGTGTCACTCTCGTGGTGCAGTGTCTGTCGTGCTTCCTTATATTCGAATAAACCTTGAAATAAAACCCTAAAATAAAAAACGTAACATTTAAATGGAGGTGACATCCTTCAACGGATGTCAACATCCATTTAAGGAAAAACGGATAAACGGATGACATCCGTTTTACCTTAAACGGATGTTGACATCCGTTGAAGATGACACCTCCGTTTAAAGGTTACGTTTTTTATTTTAGAATTTGTTTTATTAGGGGACATCCGTTGAAGGATGTCACTTCCGTTGATATATACTTCCTCACGCTGGTTGATGCTTTGGACGCTCCTCGATGTTCCTCCACACCACGACGGCGACGCTCCTTCACACCACGGCGGCAATGGAAGCTTTCAAACCAAAAAAAAAACTGGGAAGAAAAAGGAATAGAAGTACGGGAGGTGGGAAGGTGAAACGAAAATGGGAAAAAGGGAAGAGAATTTCGTGGGTGAGTGCTGGGAAAGTAAAATTAGGATTTCAAATTATTTAAAATATGATAAAAATAAAAATCTTTTTAACTTAAATATATAATTGTATTTAAAATAATGTGGGGAGATAGAATAAGTATAGGATGGTGGTGGAGGAAGCAACACCAAAAAAAATATTATATATGAGTTAAACCCAACTATTTCAAAAGAGAATAAAAGATAGAAATAAAAATCTGTTTTAAAATTATCTTTCTTTCAATGTACTCTAACGATAAAGCTTTTATATATTTTTTAATGGTTTCAACTAGAATTAGACTCTTTCTCAATAGAAAAACAACCATGGATTTTATCTTATTTGAGGTTTTTGTTGTATAATATTTTTTTTTCTGGAAATTTGGTTTTGCCTCTGTTTCTATTTTCACCTTTCTTGTGTTGGCTACAAATGGCCAATTTCGATTACTGTCTTTTCATTTTTCCATTTTTAAGTTTTGGCTAGTTTTCTTTCAAAAATTATTATTAATTTTATTTCATTTTAAGAAGAATAATTGTAACTATAATATTGCAATAACTAATATAAAATTGGATGTTCCCAAAACTAATTAATAAAATATAAGAGGGGAAAAAATAAAATTTAATAACTGTGTCCATGGATAACCATTTTATAATGTTTAAATTTTTTTATTTATTTTCAATTTAGGCTGATTCAGCTGATCATTAAAAGTTTTTAAGCCGAAATGAACTTTTTCTTGAGCCGGTTTCAAATTTGTCCATAGTTTATGAAATAAAAAGGCTGATTTATATTTATGTTAAACCTTTTATTTTATTAGATATATTATGCAATTTTATACAAAATATATTTTCTATACTTCTTTTTCTGTATATTTTACGTTAATTGCTTTCTATACAATCTCCTCTTTTCTTTTCTTTTTTCTAAGCCTTCAACCTTATATGTTAAGAGAAACTTCCTGAACCACTGCACCACATTGACCTAGTGGTAAAATTTTTAAAACAAATAATTATAAAATTTGTGAAAGAAGTTAAAAAAAAATAAAAAAAAATAAAAAAAAATACACTCATTTAAATAGTACAGTACACAGTTAAGAAAAAAAAACAGTATTTTACTCTTAAAATTTTAGTGTAATCTTTGTTAGTGAGACTCCATCTTTTTTTTATCCACTTAATCATGGTTTTGTGACTAGATCATTTTCATCTTTCTAGTCTTCGACAAACTATAATGTTTAAATATATGCATCATTATCAATATGTCTTCCATAATTTCCTTACACTTTTATAATATTTTTTCATCTCAAAACTGATCTTTTTTAGTTTATCATATATATATATATATATATATATATATATATATATATATATAT